GTGCTTGTTTCACATAGGCGACTTTGGCAGTCTCCGCGGTGAAGCCAGACTTGAAAGAAACCTTGCTCGCATCGACGCCGAGACGTGATTTCACAAAGTCCACTGTGGCGTCGGATAGGGAAAGAGGCGCGAAGCTGGCAGGTTGTTCGAGGCCAGCACCAAATGTCTATTTTGTCGCGTTAGTATCAAGGCCCATCACAATAGAAATGCGGTGTACCTCGAACTTAGTCTTAGGGTGGAATGCATCAACTTGAAAGCCGTTGCGACCAAGATTTCGCGTGCGGTGGGTCGAGTGCTGGGAGTGTGCACCTGCTATTGATGCGTATACGACAGCGAGATAGATAGATGCGAAGAACTTGTTCAGGAACATCATCTTGGAGAGTAGGGAGGAGGGAGGATTGTGAGGGGAAGCTCAGGTCTTCCTGGCTATCGTAGAACGCGTTTCGGCCTTTTATGCATCTTCCGCAATCCTTCTGGTTCGACGAGATCAGATCGCAGGTCGTAGAGCATGTGCGCCGAGAGGATACAGAGATGCAGCCAGATACACCGAGCTGTCTGAGTTTCTAGCATCGATGCTTCTGTACTTCTGATGTGTAGTTCATAACTCTCATCATTAGTCGTATACGTAACAGATAGATATAGATGCGTCCACGTGAATTGGAGAGGAAGTTGGATATGTCAATGGTGCAATGTAACCGAGCATGGAAATTGCATGGAAAGGTGATCGGGAGGTACTACTTCGGAATGCCGATCGATCACTCGACCTCTCCGTACCTTTCCAAGCCGCCAAGGAGAGTGAAGAAAACACCAAGTGTGGCCGCGACCAAGTGGCGAGAAGCGATCGGATATCAGGAGCGGATGAGAGATATACCGAATGATCCTCCCCCTATGGGGCGTACGTAGAGCGCTGTAAGCACAAAACCGTGGAACCCTCTGAACACCGGGATTCGGTGGGAAGGGAGGAGGAATGGTGGTGGTTGCCGCTTATGGCAGCTTCTTTGTGAGCTCGTAAAGTGACATGTATCTGATAGAGAAAAGGTTGTTCCACGTGGATAGCAAGAGCCACCTGAGTCTACCTTGTGAACACTGAGTACTGATGATGATGGTCGCCGTGTTCATTGGTTACTGACACAACATTGTTTGTGTATATTGACGAAGAACGGGGTCATCCTTGACCAGTATAGAATTGCTGTTCAACAGCAGGTTCAACAGAGCCAAGAGGTTTCCCATGGGGTCGCGTGGCGGCGACTGAACAGCCCTTGAATGAGCTCCGTAGCTGTTGGTTCCTATCAAGACATTAGATGGCGATAGTGGCCTCCAGGCCACGGGAAGCAGAAGCCATCAAATGTGACTCGGTGGCTCGAGCATACGACAATGCATATGAAGGGAAGAGCGCCCAAGTAACTGAAAGTGGGTATGCGTTTGGGATACATGCTGTAGTATTCCGCAGGTGGCCGCAGCGTTGTAAGCTAGAAGCTCTGGCTGTTACTCAATGCCGAAAGTATACGCGCTCGGAATGAAGCGGGGATGCGGGGATGCGTCTGGAAGCCTGCCATGTGAATTCGTATTCATTACTCGAACCTCTGGGGAAAGAAACAGCCGTACTGAAGACTACAGTGGATGGCCGAGGCATGAAACGGCGAAGAATGTCGTCCGTCAGCGGTCCTGTGATATGCTGAGCTGCATTCAGATCCTAGAGTAGCAGAATGTTTCAATTCTGTACCATGTGTGCTGAGCATTCAATCATGCTCGCCTCGTAAGGATCGTTCACGGCGGCGCAGCAAGCCCGACCAATGTAAGCATGGCCTACTGGAAGTGAAACACCAGCTTCTTGAGTTAATGAGTCCGAACATAGTGTTCTCGATATTTGCATCAACTTCGCCGACCATGTCTCCAAGGAGCTGCACCGCAGGGATGCTACTGATGTATAAGCTCGGCCTGGGATTATGCTCAATATAAGCAAGCTCCGAAGCACAGAGAGAACGTAATGCTTACGGTTTAGCTAGTTTATTCCATGTTTCGAGCCATATGGCCGCATGTCATGATGACATTATTTCATGAAAACCTATGAGGTCTGAAAGAACGGCATATTAGAACCGAATAATCCGATTGGATCCAGGTAAAATCCGTCTCACATTCTGGAGAGTTTCTTTACTACACTCATGCTTCGATGTCTTCTTCGAAAATCGTCTGGACATCATAAATTCCGCTGCAAGCTCACCTCCACTCACATGCCTCCAATATCTCGACCGACAAAGCTCCTCGCTGGAATAAAACCTTTGCTGTTGGTATTCGCTGAGCCAGGCAGGCTCCAGACTGGATCGAGATGAACTTGAAAGGTGGAGGAGATGAAGCTCTTCAAGCTGCTGTCCCGTCGTCCGACGCGGCATCAACCTTGCTTTGGTATGTTTTCCTACAGCCCCCGATCAATGCGGAACGGGTGCCATACAGTGGCACCATAACAGAAATATTCAACTTGGATCATACATACCACCACAGAGTCCCGACGCTCATCCATACGGAATGACTCTGAGGTCGAGGAGCATTGGCACCAAGTTCTGCTTTATTGTTGATCACTGACAGCCTTTCTGGAGCCATAGCGACATGGAACACTTTCTAACTCAGGGAAGCATGCTGGAATACGTATCCGTTGTGGCTTCTGGCCGACCTTCGAAGGCAAAGCATTCTAGAAAGCTCCAGGGTCTCCAGGTTTGTTAGGGCATTGACTCTGACACACTTGGTGCTGACTGCATTGATTAGGAATGTACCAACCTGGTACCGACAGCTATGCATTGTCGTGAAGGAAGTGGGTCTTTCTGGTCCGTACCCACTCTAGCATGATTGTGCCCTGCGTATCTCATGATTTTCCAGCCCTCCGAGGGTTATGGTCGAACTCAATGAAGGCATAATGGATCAGGTGGACGACAATCCCAAAATCCTCTCTCCGCCCCTTCGCCAGGGAGCAGACGAACGTAGGCTCCAGCGGTATTCGAACGCAGAAGCAAAACTCGCGAGACACCTTGAACAATGCCAGGCAGAACTATCGCCTCGAGAGCTGCAAATTCGAGCACTGGAGCAGGCGACGACGATGCTCAGTGCACACGCCCAGGACGCTCGTGAGCGTTCCGAAAGACTGCGGAAACTTCTTGCCGACCGCGATACGGACCCCGAGGTTTACGAGACGCTGCAGCGGGAGCGGTGGTTCGAAGAGAATCGTCAGTCTATTGTTGACCAGGAGACGAGGGATGTGCGGGAGAATCTCAAAATTTTAACGAAGGCATGCCAGCGTGATGGAGACCCTATCTTACTGGAACCTCCAGAAAACCATCGGATGACTGATGAAGTCAGGCGACGTAAAAACCTACTCACATTTCTCGCCACCGCACCCGCTTATCCTCCTGTCCGTATTCGTAAAGCCACCTCTGTACTCTTTGAGCGGTCTCATAAGCGAAGAACCATCGATAGAGTGTCGCCCATGCGTTTGCGGACGACATCCACCATCTCAAACGCACCCTTCCAACCTCTGCGGCCTACGTCCTTAGATGGGTGGACCCGTCGATCGCGTCACGCGTCAGAATCACGGGCCAGCGCAACTCGAGAACCGCGCGATACCCCTATACGCATGTCTCTCCGCGTCGTCACAGAGGACCAATCCCCAACCGCAGACGAAGACATGGCGCAAAGCTCGGCAACAGCGTCCACCAGCGTTTCATCATTCACGGAATTCTCAACCAATACCACCACAGCTACCACCTTCACCCCCTACACCCCCACGTCTCAGTACCACCGTAACACAATGAAATCAGAAGATGGCGAAAATGGCACGGTCATTATCTATAGCAACAAAGCCTTAGACATGGAATTCGATACCACGAATATCGACGCACCCATCCCTGACTACGCCCTCGATCTCTTCTCGCGCTTTGATGCGGGTCTCCCTATATCAATGACAAGCGCTCAGTCCCCCAGTCCTCCCACCACACGTTGGTCCGATGTCGGTCCACGGCAAACAGACGAATCCGAGGCAGGGCCCTCCCGCCATTCAACCTCCCTCCTCCAAGTCCCGTCGCCTGCATCACCGAAACAGCGACTGGTCCGTAGGATCTCGCGGGTCAGACGGTCAAGCTCATTCCGCCATTTGGGCTCCCTGATCTCGATCCCAGAGTCGTTATCCTCTAGCGAGAAGAGGGCGCAGAATCCAAAAGATATCACGACTTCCATGGTTTCTTCAGCGGTGTCCCTTACCTTGCCGACTGTATCAGGAGGGGCAAAAGAGGGGAAGAATGATCTCTCGTCCAAGATCAAGAAACGTTTCTCTTCCATGCGCCTCGTACGATCTTAGTGGAACTCTTCTTTGGTTTAGTTGTTATTTTCTTGATTGCTTTGTACAGGATATCTTGACATGGAGACATTATTCGGGGACATTGCTCACATCACTCTTGGAACACTGCCTGTACATATCTTACCTATCCCCCTATTTCTCCGATGATCCGAAGATCTATTTATTTTGTAAAATATACTTTCTCTTTGGCTTCCCGACGTATGTCGAAGCAAGCCAAGGGCATCCTGGATGGAATGAACGATAGAGTCCATAGCGAAACGTTACCTACTCGAGTACAGTATCTGTCCAGCCGACTCGCAAATGGCAGATGATCGGAACCCAAGTATCTGGAACCCATCTGAACCTCACCCTGGCGCATTCGTTTTGGAGGTGGCTCGACGCAGTGACTTCGAACTTTTTTAAGTTCGTTCACGGAATCTATCATAGTTGTAGAATTCCTCGTCTCAGGGATGAAGCTGCCAGTGAAAGGCAGGGTACATTGGCATGCCATAGAAAGGAGTGTCTGGTCTTTCTCACTACGTTCTGCCAATCTAAACGACGCAGACGTATCATTAAAAGGCGCAATTTTTTACCGTCCAAGTTCCAAAATACAATGCGTGGCTATCTAACCAATTTAAGTGCAACCAAAAAAGGATCTCGACACCGTACCCGGCTTAATTACACTGAAGGGGAATCGAACCCCTGCCGCTTGCTCACCATCCGTGGATACTGAGGGATATGGAAGGCAAGCATGATAACCACTTCACCATCAGTGTGTCTTCCGCAGTCAGCTCAGAGCAATTAAGACAGGATTCACAAACTCGGCCTGAGCCGACAGTATTGATCGTTCACGCCGCCCAACGCTCGCCTCCACTATAAGTTGTTGATAAGTTGACTATAAGTTGACTATAAGTAATGCAACGAATATCCACTCTATCATCCCGGCAGCGAGTCGACGAGTTTCTGAACTTTGGATTTGAGGCTGGTAAGCCTGACGTCGCCTTCCAGACGAAGAGTGGAGGCTAAAGAAACAGGGGTGAGAATGAAAATAGCTATTAAAATGGCACCGAAGAAGTTCGTAATCTAGAGGACACCTGCTGTATCCAATTATGCCTGTGCCACTACTATATGTAGCGTGCCTTTGATGTCCGTACCAGTACCATTTCAAGCCCGAGCCCACCACTAGTCATACGAAATCTCTCCCAGAAAGAAGTAGGACAGCGACCACGATTGACACCTCCAGAAGACCGGCCTTGAGCGCGTCGTGTCCCACCACGATATTGACGACCCCGTGCTCCTGGACTATCCCCGCGAGCAGCACCGGTGTGATTGTGGTAGTGTAAAGCTGTTTTTGTGGCGACAGTGGTGAGCGGTCATGAATTAAATAAGTGAACGGAAGGGGTTGGACACTCATGTAACTGCCACAGGCCACCCATGTGTATGTCGTTGCGTGTAGTTCCATAGTCATGTGTCTGCGGTTGATGAGATGTCAGTATCGCAGAACGAAGGGGTCAAGATCATGAGATGAACCTTTGGTTTGCGGGGAGTTTGATCCACTGGGACGTTCTCTGTGCTGGAATGACGCCACGAACCTCCACGGCTGGACGAGCACCCCACTCGATGGTAGCAAAGACTTGCCCACTTTGGTCGTAGAAAAAGGTATGGGTGTTTACATTGGGCGAAATAATTATGGAGCAGCGCCACCGTCGGGGTCCTTCACCAGTACAGTTGAGGATGTTTGGGTTGAAGGAAGAGAAACGGAAAATCGATATCGATATGTCCGTTGGTTGGTCGAGGTGGGGCGATGGCAAGGGCAAGGGTTTTGGGAGCGATAGCAGCGGACTCCACTGATCGTCGGGGGTCCAGAGATAGTTATTTGAGCTTGAGCTTGACCAATCTGCGTCAGCATAAGTATCATCTGAGTACACCATTTTGTTTGGTGAGGGATGCTGAAAGGCCCGATCGTTAGGGATCCGTGTCGATTGTCCGAGAGGTCCTCCATAATATAGTCCTCTGAATGACGCGCGGATGCTGTTACCTTTCAGAGCCCAGGTCCGACAACCAACAGGTTAATACTAGACAGCGTCAAATTTTCAAAGCAGTGGCGTCCCCTCTAGGATAGAGTCTAAAATGAGTGTGGCGGGTAAGGCAGAAGAGGGTCGATAACAAAGGAAGGCCACCGATAATGGAGCTGGCACAGGCTGCCGTTCTACGAGAAGTTAGCCCATGCAACCTCGACACAGGTCGAGGAGACTTCCATGTCAAATCGAGCTTGGCAGGTAAGGCATAAGAGGGTCGATAACCAAGGAAAGCCATGATAATGGAGCTGGCACAGGCTGCCAATCTACAAGAAGTCGCCCCCGTGCAATTTCGGCACAAGCAGAGGAGACTTGCATGCCCAATGGGGCTTGCCAGTGGATTCTACTAGCCTGACGAGCCTTCCCGTTCCTCTTCGATTTTGGTGGCGATACAGGTTGGCGGTGGCGGTGTTAATCCGTCCATTGGCGTCATAAATTTTATGTACGCTGTGCCTAGCGTAAATTGACTACAAGGCAGACAGAAAATCAAGGCAGTGCTCGATAGAGGACCAGATTATGGACGAGGCATTTTGGGTAGTTGAAAGGAGCCATGGATGACTCGAAAGGAAATTCGCTCGCCGCTTTCAGAATGTTTGGCCTTGATGAAGACACAAGCTAATAGCGTGGTTCAAGCACCCGAATCGGAGAGTTGAAGTGCTACCTCCCTCAATCGTGGAGGTCTCTATAATCTCTGCCTCCTTTCACGAGATTTGAGCCCATGAATTGTTTATAGATTGTAGTAAAAAGGAGCAAATGAGATGAAGACGAATTGTCATGAGAGAGTCAGTGCAGACTTGGGCACACAGCCACCTAAGTTACGTGGTTACCACCCAAGAAAACTCTTTTCGATCTCCATATGCTCTAATCGTTCCATCTCCTTCCAGTCACCTTTGTCCAACTTTACTTCGCCTCCACTCATGCTGCTGCTTGCTGCTGCCCACGCACAACTTGGTAGGATCAGGTGGCCTGCAGCAAGGCTTTAGCGTGCTCTTCGACGTGACCACCTGATCGTCCCAGGGTCTCTTTTTGTGCACACACTAGCCCCACCGAATAGTGCGCTTGCCTAGCGGCTGCTGCCCCCACATTGCTCGTGCTGAGCTCTGGCTCAATTTACGACTAATTTACCAAGTGGACACTATCACGAGCCAACTCAGGCATGCAACAATCACAAGAAACGTTAGAGTCTGCACCCCGCCGTTTTCATCGAAGAGAATGGACAAGGAATAAGCCAGTACGTGACCTTGACAGTACCTGATGTCCACCGATTGGTCAACATTTCCTTGCTCTGGACAGCACTTGCCCAAATCGACTTCCCTACCAATATTCAAGTTGTTACCCATCGATCGACCAACATTCACCTGTCAGCAATGTGGATTTCTGAATACTCTTATTCCGCTTTGTCTTTGGTGTTGCTGGTCTTCAGATGCAGCTTGCCGTGAGTTCGAAAAGTCGATGCCCCGAGCGAGAAGAGCAAGTGCACCCCCAAGGGTCTTTTGGAAGCACACAACCTGTCAGACATCTCGCAATGGCGTGAACCCCGTGTCAACCACCTCGAAACCAACAATGACACCCCAAGCAAAGGCTAAATATACCCTCTTAGATGTTATGCCGACAATTCAACATACCCTGATACCTCGAGAAAGCGTCAATCAGAGATGCCCGCCGAATTCGGAATCCCCGTCACGTCATCTGATATATCGTCGGGATACACCTCGTACAACGACTTCCGAGGCAACCGTCGTTGATAGCCTCGAGGTTACCACCGCAACACTTCCGGTAATACACATCTTAAACGTGGAGTGACTCTACTGACCTCTTACCTTTTCCCCTCCACAGGGCCCAGCTCCGGTATTGAAGAAGCCACGACGACCGAGGTGGTCTGACGAAAGTGCACGTAAAGACGGAGCAGCAGGCATCGCTTCCCGCCGGCCTTCCCTCCACTTCCCGCCCCTGCGTCATTCCGTTTCAACAGGCGTTGATCGCCGTACCCCAATGCATCTCCTGAGGACCGTCTCCACGAAATCATTACGCACGACGCACATAGTCATCGACTTCAAGACCCTCCACGAGTCTTACGATCTCAAACTCAAACCTGTCGACGACCTCTCCCTATCATCTGCCCCAGCGCAGCGGATACTCCGGCGGAAGAAACGCGTGTCCCTCTTTCGCACGTCTACGCCCCCACCATCACGTCCTCAGTCTACGTCTACGGCGACCTCCATCCCCCTCACGCCACTAGAATCGCCCGAACCTAACGTATATGTTGATAATAATGCTCTCCTGGCCCCCATGCCCATGCCCGCGCACGAACCTACCCACGCCCGGTCCGGATCCCAGCCGACGAACACCGTCCGCCTTGGGCATCCCAGCCGGCCCTATTACACCGCCATTCGCCCCAACATGTCTCGCCCTACTTCCCCCATTTCTCGGTCGCAGTCTCCATCCACGTTACACCCATCTTCAGCCTCGCGACCGACACGCCCTACATCCCTCCCGGCTCCATCCCGTCCCCCCTCCCCCGGCATATTCTCCGTCCTCTCATCTACGTCCGCGCTCAGCGATGAGGAGGACACCTCCCCCATCGAGATCTTTGCCTACCGGCCGCGCTCGCAGTCCACTAACGTCTCCATCAACTCACGCCCGCTGACGTTTGGCCCACTCTCCCGCCATCGCGGCGGGTTCTCGCTGAGCGGGGAGACGGAGCTCCGCATGGCGCTGGCGAGGGAGGGTGATACGGAGGGGGAGGAGGCTTTTAGGTTTCGGGATATGAGAAAGAAGCATGGGCATGGCGGGGCGAAGGTTATGAGGAAGGTAAGGGAGTTTAGGCGGGGGCTGAAGGGGCTTGTTATGGGGAGGGCGGGGTGATCCTAAGCGCATCATTCGATATGAGTGGAACTAGTTGGACCTTTCGCTTTCGCTTTCGTCTTCAGCTATGCCCATGATCATTGTTTCGAGCTCACCGGGCCCTTATCTAGACTCTTCCTTCTCCTGATACTTATGCCTAGTTTGTGGTGTTGCATGTCGGGTTACCTTGGTTCCCGTCCAGTACAAGCCTCTGGTAGGTACGTACTCGAGAGAGACAGGATTTTGGCCGAATTCTGGCAAGTGGAGGATGGAAATTCTTCGCTAAGTACCGAACGCCTATGCTCGCAGATGACATAAGCAGCCTTTGTAGTCACCACCACCATCGTCGAGCATCGTAAAGTCTTCCCAACTCAAATGAAATCTGCAGCTCGTTTTTCCCGGAAGATTGAAAGTTGAGCAGCATCGAATTTCAATCTATCACCATCAGAGCATCTCTCATACCGACGATAATGAACACCACACATCGAGCTCCACGCAGGGTTGTGTACCTCCCAGAATTGCCGCCCGAAGTGTGGCTCAACATACTGCGATATTCCACCTGGGTCCCCTTTCTACTGGACCCCAAGACTGCTCTCCAATTATCTCTGTCAGCTAAACGGGAGCAAAAGAGACTGTATCGGCAATCTTTGGTGCGTGTTTATCACACATGTTATGTCCACGAACTTGATGATTCCACAGGTGACGAAACGGTACCTGGTACGGGTCTGCAAACAATGGAACGTCTGGGCGGCTCCGTATTTGTACGAGAGTATATACCTCGGTAGAGGCAGATCGATACGCGCGCTTCGTGATGCCTTGAACAGGTCCAGGCACTCTGGCGAAACTTGTCCGTA